CCGCTTCAGGGGTACAGTAATTGTACAGATAGCTCTGGTGGGGGCTGGAGTTGTGAGGAGGTCGATGGATTCTGAATGGAATTATCGGGAATTAATAGAACTTAGTTACAGTGACTTTCCCACTCTTTGAATTGTAAATGCCCACTTTCCCCCTGACTACAGCCATCATCACTGCAGGAGTGCTTACCGTGTGCTAGGGACCATGCATATCTTTTCTTGTTTCACTTCATAGTAACCTTGAAATATCCGCATTTTAGTATTTTTCCCCACTCACTAGATAAGCACAGACAGTACTGTGTTGCCTGTGGGAAGTTAGATTGCAAACCCTCCAACCTTTGATTTTGGAACTTCCCCAGTTGGCTTCCCTGCCACAGAGGCCATTGTGAAAAGCCTGGAGCTGGACGAGTGCATTAGGAAGGCGCTAACTGACCTGGGCTGCCACTCCTGGGAGAGCAAGCAGAGTGCCACGTTCTTGCTTTTCTTTAAATTAATTTTTTAAAAAATTATTTATTTATGTGATACAGAGTCTTGCTACGCAGCGCAGACTCATAGTGAGCCTCCTGTCTCAGCCTCCCCAGTGATGGGATTGCAGGTGTGCATCACCATGCCTGGTCTTGCCTGGTGTTCCGGAGCTGGCATGGCATGTGGTACTGGGGATTGAACCAAGTCCTTGAGCTTGCCAGGCAGGTGCTTAGACTGCTGAGCTATCTCCCCAGCCCATTCTTGTTTTTCAGACAACTCACTTGCAGCTAGTGATGCAACAGTTTTCTCTTTATGCTTGGCTCATGTAGTATGTAATTTTTTTAGTTTAGAATAATTTATTGTTTCTTTCCTTCCTAATACCTAAATGAAGACATTAATATCTGAAGGAATAAGAATGCTGTTGTTCCCAGTCTGTACTATATACATAAATATCTTTACCAGGGAGGGGAGACACAGCACTGGTGTTCCGGAATTTAACATACCAGTTCTATAAGCTTTGTATACTGTATTGAGACTGTTTTTTGCTTTCTGCAGGGAGCATTTATCTGAGGGTAATCAAAGGCAATCAGATTCTAAATTGTTCCCTGATTTTTTTTTTTTTTTTTTCCAGAACTGGGAATTGAACTCAGGCCCTTGCACTTGCCAGGAAGGTGCTTATTCTACTGAGCCATCTCCCCAGCCCCATGTTCCCTGATTTTTAAAATTAAGTTTTATTGGTACATTTTAAGTATACATAGTGATCACTTTTTTTTTTGGAGGAACAGGGGATTGAACTCAGGCCCTTACGCTTACCAGGGAAGCACTTACTCCACTGAGCCATCTCCCCAGCCCAGTGATCACTTTCATCGTAGGGAATTTGTGGCTATACGTGATGTCTTTATTCCTTTTTTTTTCCCATTCCCCTATCCTCCTTTCAACCCCTCTTCCCATTTATAAAAGCTTTATTTCCATATTTCATATTTTTCTCTTTCCCTTTTTTTTTTTTTTTTGTGGCAGGTTCAGCCTGCCCTGGGTGTGGGGCCGGTGCAGCATGTGGTGCCAGGGATTGAACTGCAGTCCCTGTACTTTGCCTAAGCTTGCCTAAGCAGGTGCTTTAGATTGCTGAGCTATCTCACCAGCCCCTCTTTTTTCTTTTTCCTTCCATCCCTTCCCCCTCTACCCTCCCTACTTTCTTTTTCTATTTGAACATTTGCTTTTTATTTCACTTATTAAACATTGTGGTCCTTATTTATACTTTTGGTTTCTCACATCAGAGAAACTATGTATTTAGACATGTGTGTCTGATTTATGTCACTTAAGACTATGTTTTTGAGTACATACATTTATCTAGAAATATCTCAAGATTATCCTTTATGGTTGAGTAGTACTCCATTTATAAAAGAACCACATCCCCTTTATCCATTTATCAGATAATGGACATTTGAGTTTTAAGTCTTTCAGTGTTTTACGTGTGTGTGTGTGTGTGTGTGTGTGTGTGTGTGTGAGAGAGAGAGAGAGAGAGAGAGAGAGAGAGAGAGAGAGAGGCATTCTACATTTATTTATGGGACCTAGAGCATCCCTTAGGTTAGCAAGGATAGATCACAACAGAGCCTGTGTTGTTTGGGTAAGATTGGGCCCAGAACCTGGCACTCTTCTTTGATTCCTAGATTCTTAGCTCTCCTCTGGATTCTTCTCCTACTCTGTCTTGTAAATAACATAGCCAGCGTGTTTGTCTTTTGGGCCAATTATGCAAGCAGTGCATGCTCATCAACCAGAGGGTATAGAAAGATTGCCAATGTAATCCATGTCTCACTAAGTTGCCAGAGCTCCTTGCCCAGCCACACAGCCCCTTCTCTGTATTGTCAGAGCAGTGCTTGACTCACCAGCTCACTCTGCTGCCCAAGCCCCAGCTGCCTCCCTATCAGCTTTGTAGGCCCTCAAATTGTTCCTAGGTCCTAAAACCTAAATTGAAACCTTCCTTAACTACTACTACTACTACTACTACTACTACTACTACTACTACTACTACCACTTCTTCGTCTTCATCTTCTTCGTCTTCATCTTCATCTTCATCTTCATCTTTTTGAGACAGTCTTGCTGTGTAGTTCAGGCTGGCCTTGAGCTCACTTTGTAGCCCAGGCTAGTCACAAACTTGCAATAGTCCTCCTGCCTCAGCCTCCTAAGTGCTGGGACTACAACCTCATGCTGCTATGCCCAGCATCCCTTAGCTTCTTTTTTTTTGTGTGTGTGTGGAACCGGGGATTGAATTTAGGCCCTTGTGCTTACCAGGGAAGCGCTTGTTCTACTGAGCCATCTCCCCAGCCCCCCTTAGCTTCTTGTTTGCCTATAGCAACTACCTTATTCAAATTATCTCCTTACAAAAACACTTTTGGAAAGAAATGTGTATGTTTATCCAGGTAGTTATGTTTCTCATACTCTTTATTTCTTTATATGGATCCCTATTTCCGTCTGATGTTGTTTGTCTTCTGCTTGAAGGAGTTAACCTTTAAGATTTTTGTCAGTCTGGGGATGTAGCTCAGTAGTAGAGTGCTACTGTGTAGAGTACCTAACATCCATGAAGAAGAAGACAAAGAGGAAGACAAGATGGGGGGTTGTCAGGTAGAGGAGGGGAGAGGATAGGGAAGATTTTTGACATGTGGGTGGTGAACTTTTTCAGCTTTTGTATGTCTTAAGTATTTTTTCATTGTATATGTGTGTAGGGTGGTACTTGGGATTGAATCCAGGACCATCACACTGATATTCTTAGCTCTTTTTTATTTTTTAGACAGGTTCTCACTTAGCCACTAAATTGCCCACAATGACCTAAAAAAATGGGATCTGCCTTAACATCCCAGAATGCTGGTATGATAGGCATCTCTTACTATGCCCAATTTCATGTTTTTTAGAAGACATAGTTGCTGGGTATAAAATTCTAGATTTATGTGGGTTTTTTCTTTCATTATTTTTTTTAAAATTTTTATTTATTTATTTTTACATTTTATTTATTGTGTGTGTGGCCAGTTCAGCCCACCTGTGGGCGGGGCTGGCTGGCATATGGTGCTGGGGGTTCGAACCGTGGTCCCTGTGCTTTGCCAAGCTTGTTCCAAGTAGGTGCTTTAGACCACTGAGCCATCTCTCCAGCCCTCTTTCATTATTTTAGAAAGATGCTGCTCTTGTTTGTATTATTTCCAATGAAAAATTTGATATCATCCTTATCTTTCTTTCTCTGTAATTAAGGTATGTTTATTTTCTGGCTGCCTTTAAGATTTTGTTACTGGTTTGAGCAATTTATCATATGCTGTAGTGTAGTTTAGCTTCTTGGATCTGTGGATTTATAGTTTTCACAAACCTTGGAAAAGTTGGCGACTATTTCTTTATAACTATTTTTCATTTACATGCTGGAGACATGTAACACAGTTGACAACTCCGCACCCACATGGCGAGCTTTTCTTGAGGCAGTTAGCCTCATTCGTTGATCCTGGCAGAGGCTGGCAGCTGGTGTTGAGCTGAGGAGGGTTATAGTGTAGGGAGTCACACTGCAGAGGTTGATAGTTGTTAACTTGGCATACAAGACTGCCAAGGACTTTTCACTTACATGAACATTTGCCCAGGACCCAACTTATGGCTCCAAAGTGGGAGGAAAATCTTCCTCTCCTTTCTCCTACTGCTGTGGCTGCTGTGCTGGGTCAATTTCTTAGCACTCCCCGGGGCAGCAGCCCATGGGTGGTGGGCAGGAGGCAGCATCCAGTTAGCTGTCAGAATCCAGCTAGCCTAGCACCTCCAAGGAATCATGGTGGGTACGGTAAGGCTCATTTTGAAGTTCCAGCCATAGCTGCTTCCTTACACTGACTCTGCTGTTTACCAGCTATGTGTTGTCAGATAGAGTACTGGTTGAGCTTGTCTTGCCTGTGCTTGGTCATCTAGTAAGTGGACTTGATACTCCTTGTCTGTAGCTCACAGAGCTGTCATAATGCATACACAGATGCTTTGCTTTAATAGATCTTGGATATAACTGTTCTTATTTTCTGGTTCTCATCAAACAAATGAAAATATTGAAGTGTTTTTGTATTTTATTTTCCTAATTGGATGTCAGCACTGAATTATTTTTAGTTATAATCTGCATGGCAAGCAGGAGGTTTGGGAAAAAGCCATGTAATTGTCCGTTTATTTACTTGGCACCATTTATCTTGTATCCCTTGTGACCTTCATGACCTGAAGAACAGTGGGTGGCTCTCAGACAGTTTAATAGAACTGGTAGCATCTCCATGGGACACGATTTCTCTTTTTGTTAGTCCTGAGGATTGAACCCTAGGCCTTCACACTGAGCTACATTATTTTGTTAAAACATTTTTATTTTGAGACAGGGTGTGGCTAAATCTCTTACATTACCCAGGCTGAGCTTCAGCTTGCAGTGCTCTGGCCTCAGCCTCCCAGTTCCGATTACAGGTGTGGGTCACCGCGCCCATCCTTAAGAACTCTGACCCTGGGGTTCATACGCTTTCAAGTCACACACGACTGACCATGCTGGAATGTCTCAGTTGCAGAGGGCTGTGGTCACTCGTGGTCCGAGAAGCAGCCCGTTCCGCCTCCCCAGGAGGGCGCCAGGCACCTGGATGAGGAGCCGACACCATGGGAGCCCAGCAGCCGCAGCCGCCAGGAGAGGACAGCCGGAGAGGCTGGCGCCGCGCTGGGGCTGCGCGCCCCCGGGGACCCCGTGGTGGTGCTGTCTGTGATTCCTGGGGAAGCCAAAGACAAACGGAGCTCGGAGCCAAGTGGCGGCACGTGTGCCGCTGCAGGGGAGGAGGACGCGGAGTGCAGTGTCCGCGAGAGCGTCCTCTCCCGGGCCGGTGCGGGGCCGACCTTCCCTGATCGAGAGGAGGATGATGACCCCGAGCCAGAAGCAGAGGCAGAAGCGGAGGCGGAAGCCGCCTACCCGACCCCGGCCGAGGATTCCAACAACACTGAGAGCCTGAAGTCCCCAAAGGTGAACTGTGAGGAGAGGAATGTGACGGGATTGGAAAACTTCACTCTGAAAATTTTAAATATGTCCCAGGTGAGCAGAAATGATCCAGTAGTTTTCTCCATTTCAGCATATTAACCCTACGATTTAATACTCTGTCAGCGTTCAGATGGAAGATCATCTTATCATAGTCTAAGCGGGGGTACCACTGAATAGCTGCTTGAATGAAAAGTGACTTTGCTCTCGGTGATATTTGTAGGAAAAGAAATATAACTAGTGTCAGTCACACTTTTTAGGTGACCAGGAACTGGTCATAATTGGTAACCACCACCAAGCCTCATTTTGATTCAGAGATAAGACAAGAAAACGAAACAATTCGTTTGCCTCTTCTTCCTCTTCCTGCTTTTCCCTCCTCCTCTTCCTGTTCCTCCAACTCATCCACATTCCTCAATCCTGGATTGAACCCAGGGCCTCCACACTAAACTACATCCGCAGTCCTTTGAATTTTTGAGACAAGGTCTTCCTGAGTCCCCAAACTGCCTAGGCTGGGCTTGGCTTGCACTGGTGATTCTCCTACCTCCTCTTCCATGCCTGACATCTTTCAAAGGAAGTACTTACTACAAATGCAACATAAAAATATCTGAATTGGTTGGGGCATGGTGCATGTAATCCCAGCGCTCAGGAAGCTGAGGCAAGAGGATCGCTGAGAGATGGAGGCCAGTGTGTGGGCTCACAGCGAGTTCAAGGCTAGCCTAGACTATAGAGCAAGACTCTTGTCTCAAAAAACAAAAAGAAAACCAAAAAAAGCCCCCAAATTAGAAAAGGGCCAGGAAGATAGCCTAGTATAAAGGTCTGGGGTTCTACCTCCAATTTTGGAAAAAATTGTGAGTTATAGCTGGATGCAGTGGCTCACACCTAGAGTCTCAGCTACTCTAGAAGTTTTTTTTTTTTAATGTATTTGGTACAGGATCTTCCTACGCAGCTCAGACTTGTAGTGATCCTCTTGTTTTCAGCCTCCCTAGCACTGGGATTACAGGCATGCACCACCATGTGCGGTCCTAGTGGCCTGCTCAGTGCCTGGGGGGCAGGACTGGTGTGCCCAGCATATGGTGCCTGGGATTGTAGCCCTGTTCTGTGTTGAGGCAGGAGCATTCTTGAGCCTAAGATTTTAAGACCAATTTGGGAAACAAAGCAAGACCCTGTTTCAAAACAGAATTGACTAAAAAATAAATAAATAAATAAATAAATAAATAATTAAAACTCCCCAAAACAACAATTGAACTGGACTGAACCAGAACATGGTAATTTAGCATTATGTGGAGAACATGTTATATTAATGGAAAATTTCTTCTCCCAGTAAAGATGTGTGTCTAGTGTTTGTGCTGGGCTGAGGACTGAAACCACCCAGCCATACTTTTCCATATGTTTCATAAATGATTTGAGGGATTTCTGGAATAATGAATGATAATTTCTGTAAAATGTTTGAAAACCCAAAAGAACAGGATGAGGCCAGCCTGTTTATGAGAGAAGTCAATCTCAGGGCCTGAGAGCTATGATGCTTAGCTTAGAGAGAGCTCTGATGTTGAGTGCACAGAGCTCCTGCAGGGCAGGGGTCAGCTTGGCTAAGGTCCCCTCCTGAGTGCCTGGTAGACACTGTGCTCAACCCTGTTCCTATGTCACATACATGACTGGGATAGTTTGAGCAAATAACTGGTAGCAACATTTGGATATATATATATATATATATATATATATATATATATATATTTTACATTTATTATGCACAGTCAGTACATGCACATATCTTAATTCCTTTAGCTCTCATCCCCTATTGCTTCCCTCCCAGCCTGCTCCTTCCAACTCTTTTTTTTTCTATAATTTTATTGAGAAACACCTTCCAATTCTTAGACCCCTTTTCACTTGCAAAAGTTTTATTTCCATCACTGTCCCACTCAATTATTTTTTCCATCTCTTTTCCTTCCCCTTCCTCCTGTCCCTCTGTCTTGTTCCCTCATCCAGTTGGAAAAGACTTCCCCACTTCCTATTTATCTTCTATTCTGCTCTTTATCATAAGGTTTCTTTCGATGTGAGTTCTTTCATGCCTTCAGAGGTCTCTGGAGTAAGCATAGGTCTTACCACATTGCCTACATTCATAGGATTTCTATATAGTGTGAGTTCTTTCATGTATTTGAAGCAACAGAAAAAATGAATTCTGTTCCATATTGTTTGCATTCATAGGGTTTTTCCAGTATGAGCTCTTTCTTGCAAATGGGGGGCATTGCAAAAAGCAAAAGCCTTACTACATTGTTTATATTCATAGAGTTTCTCTCTAATGTATAGGGTCCTGCTATGTAGTTCAGCCTGGCTTTGAACACATAGAAATCCTCATGCCTCAGGTTCCTGAGTACTGGCATTACAAGTGTGTGCCACCACACTTGGCTATATATGTTGCTTTGTTTTTAGTGCCAGAAATTGAACTCAGAACTTTGCGTTTGCTAGGCAGGCATTGTGCCACTGAGCTGTATCCTTGGCCCTTATATACATATTTTGTTACTTTTTGTTTTTGTTTTTTTTTTTTTGAGACACTTATCTTGCTGTGTAGTTAATGCTAGTTGTAAACTCACTGTGTAGCCCAGATTAGCCTTGAACTTGGAAGTGATCCTCCTGCCCTGGCCTACAGGGTGCTGGGATTACAGGTGTGTGCCACAGGGTGGGCCATATATACTGACCCAGATGACTGGTACAAACTTAGGTCTGCTGAGGTGCAAGCTTCGGTCTGAGATCCTAGTGCTTTAAATGCCATTTGAGATTGTTTGGTGTGTTAGTTATTACTGCAACAAAATGCTCAAGATAATCACCTTAAAAAGGGGAAGGTTTATTTTGGGTCACAGTTTTGAAGGATTGAATTCACTACTGGCTGGCACTGTTGCTTTTGGGTCTGTGGTAAGAGAGCACATTAAGGGTGGAATGCAGAGCAGAGGAAGACCCCACCTCATGAAGGCCAGGAAGTAATGAGACTGGGTTCCACAATCCCCTGTAAGGCCTGGTATCTTGAGTCCTGCTACTAGGCTACACCTCCCAAAGTTTCCACCACTTCCCATTCGTGCCATAGGCTAAAAGTCAAGGCTCCAATACATGATTCTTTGGGACACTTTTAAGGTTTTGAGATGTACAGTTCAAAGATGCAGTGGACTATACCATATGGGTACTTAGTATTTGAATTGGTGCAATTTAAACATAGTAAAATAGCTCCGCAGAATTAGGAAAGCCTACCACAGTGGTGGGAAACCTATGTCATGCATGCTGTAGCTGGCTGTTTATCCTTGAAAGCTCTAAAAGGTTTGACGGTTTATACCTTTTCTTTTGGCAGTACTTTTCTGATTTATGTATTCTATGGTTAAAATCTGAAAAGGTTTTTTTTTTTTTTTTTTTTTTTTTTTTTTTTTTGGTACCAGAGATCGAACTCAGGGCCTTGCGCTTGCCAGGCAAGCACTTATTCCACTGAGCTATCTCCCTGGCCCTGAAAAGGTCTTGAAGCGGTGAGATTATTTCCATGTCAGACTGAAGATTAGAAAGAAACAGAGCTTTATTAATAAACCTAGCACACTGGCTCCTTCCCATGTTACAAATCTTAAATGTCTGGCATCTGAACACGCTTCCCCAATCCTTATAGATCAGAAACAATGTCCAGCCTCATTTTTTGTTTTGTCTCTGCTTAAATACTTTCTTGATTTCCATGGCAACCATGATGGAATGACTCAAGAAATCATGGGCTTCTTCTTTGTAATTAGTTCTATTTTCCTCTTGTCTATGTTTACAGCATCTTAACAAGGGTAGGGAAAGAGTGAAGGAGTTACATCTTAACAAGTGTGGGGATGGAGTGAAGGAGTGAGGCATCTCAGGCAGGATCACGTAGTGTTGACTCGGCCTTAATACCTCTTAATTTCTAAGGTGGATTAAAGGCTAAACTAGAGCTTCTTTTGCTAGGATAAAATTAATCAATTGAGAGCCACCATCTCCTACAGTCTTTTTTTTAACGCCCCCGGAACCAGGGATTGAACTCAGGACCCTGTGCTTGCCAGGCAAGTGCTTATTCTACTGAGCTATCTCCTTGGCCCTGGCCCCTACAGTCTTGCTGGGCTTGGTGGTATATGTCTGTAATCCCAGCACTCAGGAGGTTGAGGCAAGACGATCACTGAATTAGAGGCCACCCTTGGCTACATAGTGAGTTCAAGGCCAATCTAGACTACATAGCAAGACCTTGTCTAGAAAAGAAAGGAAAAAAAAAAGTCTGAGAGGGCTTTAGTTTGGCTTTACCTGCCTCACTTGCAGTTTGTTCCTCTCCCTGGTGCAGTGGGGTTTCCTTTTCCTTGGGTGTTCTTCCAGAAACATATGCATGTACATTTACTAACAACTTCCTCCTGCCTCAGCCTTCGGAGCACTGGGATTATAGGCACAGACCACCACATCCAGCTAACACTCCATTTCTTTTACCACAGGACCTTATGGATTTTCTAAACCCAAATGGCAGTGACTGTACGTTGGTCCTGTTCTACACCCCCTGGTGCCGATTTTCTGCCAGTTTGGCCCCTCATTTTAATTCACTGCCACGGGCATTTCCAGCTCTTCATTTTTTGGCTCTTGATGCATCTCAGCACAGCAGGTATCTTGGTGGGGTGTTTATGTGTTATCCTTTTGGCCGGTGGCTGCAGTTATATGGAAGTCACAACAGGTTAAAAGATAAGGAGAGAAGGCGGGCAGGAGCTCTGACATGGGATGGAAGCCAGGGAAAGGCAAGCTCATGAGGGAGCTGGTCATGTCACGACCTGGGAGCCCCTTAATTTTCTACATTCTCCTAAGTGCTATGGTCATGTTTGCCAATGGTTTCTTAGCTCTTTTAAAATGCTCCCCAGCTGATTGAATCACAGCTTCTCATGGGGAGAATCAACCTAGAATGCTGGGAAGATAGTCAAGTTGGTGGTAAACTGAAGTTGAGTGAACTATGATGAATTTGCACTCCACTTATTTTTTTTCCAGTATGGGAATATAATAGCCAATGCTTACCTGAAGCTGTTAGGAAGAAAGACATTTCCCAACAAGTTAGTAATTCTCATATGGATTTCAGGGAAATACCTAAGTATTGACCAGCCTTGTCTGGGCCCTCCTCTGCCCCATGCATAGCTGATCTTTGATCTTGGGTCTGGCAGTCATGTTCCTTCCCACTCCCAGGTTTCAGCATGGGCTCTGGTTTGTCTTTCCTTCATTTCTATGGAGAGCCTGGTATGGTGCCTTACTTAAGGAGACTAGGACACTTGTTCTTATTACAGGGGCTGGGACATGTGTCTGATAGGTTAATATCGAGGTGCAGCATGTTTACAAAAGAAAAAACTCAGGGCCAGGGAGATGGCTCAGTGGAATAAGTGCTTCCCTGGCAAGCACCAGGGCCTGAGTTCAATTCCTGGTTCCGAAAAAAAACCCAAAGAAACACAAAAGAAAAAACTCCTAATTATCCAATATTACTGTTTTACTGTGGGAAAACCCGAGGCTTACGCAGGTTAAATAACATGCCCAAAGGTCACAGCTGGTTCAGTGGCTGTACTGAGGTGAAAACTTGGACTGGTCTGTATTACACGCACATGAAAAAGCCCTCCATAGGTCAGAGTATGTTCAAGTCTTCCTACCCTAATTGTGAACTTACTGGTACATTTGTTAGATCATATATTCCCTTGCACTAATTTACCAAGCTAAATGCTTATTATATGTTTATCTTTTTTTTGAGGTAGGGTGAGCATTCTGAAGATTTTGAAATTTGTTCTGTCAGGTAAATTGACACAGTGTGCTTTTTCCATGAATTAGAATTTTCTGGTCTGACCTGTTTTGAAAGTTGAGTATTTAGTGGAATAACTGGGTCATGGGTAGATCCATCTGCTAATAGAAAGCAATTCAAATTGCAGAAGAGAAGTACTCCAACCCTGACCCATCAGGAAAGAGGTCAGGAAGAAATTAATTCTGAAGTTAAATATCAGAAACTTCCTTAAGTCATATGCAGCTGACTGCTTCTCATGTGTTTTTCTTTTTCTTTTTTTTTTTTTTTTGGTGGCAGAACCGGGGATTGAACTCAGACCCTTGTGCTTGCCAGAGAAGCACTTATTCCACTGAGCCATCTCCCGGGCCCCTTCTCATGTGTTTCTATCCATTCTTTTAATTTTTATTTATTTATTTATTTATTTTGTGTGTGTGTGGCCAGCTCAGCCCACCAGGGGGCGGGGCCGGCTGGCATGTGGTGCTGGGGATTGAACCGTGGTCCCTGTGCTTAGCTTGTTCTAAGTAGGTGCTTTAGACCACTGAGCCATCTCACCAGCCCCTCTATCCATTCTGATACAGTAATCACATGAGAAAGTCTGTAGTTAACTCAGGTTTTCTAACTGACTTCTTTCTTTACAGCCTTTCTACCAGGTTTGGTACTGTAGCTGTTCCTAACATTTTGTTATTTCAAGGAGCTAAGCCAATGGCTAGATTTAATCATACTGATCGAACACTGGAGACGCTGAAAATCTTCATTTTTAATCAGACAGGTATGTAGAAATAGTGTGCTGAGAAAGAAAAGTTATTTTATTGGTATGGGTATGCTTTTTGCTAATTTTGGTCTGCTGTAACTGTTACAGGTTGACTCTGAGCTTTTATGTGAAACATCTAATTAACTGTAGTGATCATGCTAAGTATCACACCATCAGTGGCAAGCTTAACATGAGGTTAATTAATTTTTGAGATGGGGTCTTGCTGTGTAGTCAGGCTTGTCTTAAACTCACATAGTCCAGGTAGGCCTTGAACTCACTGTGATCCATTTGCCTCAGCCTGCTAAGAGGTGGGATTACAGGTGTGCACCACCATGCCCAGCTCTATCATGTAGTTCAGGCTGGCCTTGAACTCATTATGTAGCCCAGGCTGGGCTCAAACTCATGGCAATCCTCCTGCCTCAGCCTCCCAAGTGTTGGGATGATAGGAGTGTAACACAATGCCCACCTAAATAGGTAATTTTAATGATTGTAGATATCCTTTTGTTTTGTTTTTGTGTTATTAGGGATTGAACATAAGGGCTTGCACATACAGTATGGGCAAATACTCCATCACCTGATACCTTTTAAAAAATAAGAGACAGGTTTGTTGGCTAGGTGTGGTGACATAAACCTGTAATCCCAGCACTCTGCGAGGCTGAGGCAGGTGACTGCAAGTTCCAGCTCAGCCTGGGTAATTTAAGACTTAGCAAGCTCCTATCTGAAAGTAAAAAAATATAAGAAAGGGCAAAGGATATAGTTCAATGCCAAGTCCATGGATTTACTCCCCCACAACTGGAAAGAGGAAAAAAGTAAAACAAGACAAGTTTTTTTCAAATACAGCTGACATGCCTATATACTTGACCAGGGGATAACCTTTTAACATACAGCTTCACTTAAGTTTAATATTTATGTAAAAACTATGCATAACTCATTAGTGATGAATCTCTTGAATGTCTTGGGTAACCAGTACTCAAGGCATGAGAAAACAGGACCACTGTCCCTTCTGCAATGACAGTCAGTTTTGACTTAGTGATACCACAGACTAGTGTTACCTGTTTTGAACTTTGTAGTAGTGAAACATACAGTATCCATTCTTTTGTGTTTAGCTTGTGCATGTGACATGCACCTGCATATTGCGTACTATTATGTTTTTATTTTATTTTATTTTTTGGTACTGGGGATTGAACTTGGGACTTGGTGCTTGCCAGGCAGGCACTTATGCCACTGAGCTATATCCCTGGCCCATGTGTTATTATGTTTTGTTCTTTTATTTATTTTTTATGTATTTGGTATAGGGTCTCACTATGCAGCTCGGACTTGTAGTGATTCTCCTGTTTCAGCTTCCCCAGTGCTGGAATCCCAGGTGTGTGCCACCATGCCCAGTCTTGGTGGCTGGCTCAGCGAGCCCGCAGGGCTGGCCGGGCGTGTTATGTGGTGCTGGGGATCAAATCCCATTCCCTGCGCTTGCCTAAGCAGGTGCTTAGTCTGCTGAGTTATCTCACTGGCCCTGTTTTGTTTATTTTTGTTGTAGTGTTTCATTTATTAATCTATTTGCAGGCACTGTTTTAATCCCTTAACGTTTGTCAACTATATGACTTCATTTTTTTTTCTTTATTTGTCAAAGTTTGAGCATTATAAACTGAAGAAATTCCCTCCACTGGAAAACTTCACTTATCAAAAACCCTCATCAAAAACCTGATCAACTCAACTCTGAGCATCCATTTCTTCCTGAAGTGTACTCACTGGAAATAAATGAAAATTAGAATATACGTCCTGTGGATAGTGAACTGCATATCATCACTTATTTTTTTAGCATGAGGGACAAAGGGCAGAGTTAGCTTTGGGGTTTACAGTGTGCTACTACTGTGATGTGGTTAAGTATCCCAAGTCATTTTTTTTTTTTTTTTTTTTT